CAAGACGAGCACAGAGAGAAGTCCCCTGTCTGAAGCTAAAAGTAGATCGTTTGTAACTTTAACTAGTGCAGTCTCAGTGCTATGGTGGACTCTAAATCCTGACTGAAACTCCTCAAATAAACTGTTGTCATGGAGAAAGTCACACAGCTGATTAGCTACCACTTTCTCCAGGATCTTTGAGATAAAAGGAAGGTTGGATATAGGCCTATAGTTAGCCAGAGTTCCTGAATCTAGAGTAGGTTTTTTGAGTAGAGGTTTGATTACCGCTACTTTAAATGACTGTGGTACAGAGCCTGCCAGTAAAGACATATTGATCATATCTAATATAGTGTTGCCAACTAAGGGAAAGACTTCCTTAAACAGCTTAGTTGGGATTGGGTCTAAAAGACAGGTTGACGGTTTTGACGCAGAAATAATTGAATTTAGCTCTGAAAGGTCGATCAGAGAAAAACAGTCGAGACTAATATCTGGTCCTGGAACTGTCTCTGCTGTATCAGACGTATCTGCAACAGGTAAGGGCAGGAGGTTACCAATTTTGTCTCGGATGTCTAGAATTTTGTCGTTGAAAAAGCTAAGGAAATCATTACTGCTGAGGGCTAAAGGAATACAAGGCTCAATGGAGCTATGACTCTCTGTCAGCCTGGCTACAGTGCTGAAAAGGTATCTAGGATTGCTTTTGGTTTCCTCGATTAGAGAGGAGTAGTAGGCAGCTTGAATGTGACATAGAGCCTTCATATATTTTCTATGACTATCCTGCCAGAATAAACAAGATTCTACTGTTTTGGTCGAGCACCAGTCTTACACGCTTCTCTGCGCCTCTCTTAGATCCGTCTCCCAGTCGCTATAGCTGTAATTCTGGATCTAACTGTAGTTATACTATAGGTGCTGTGTCTGTCCCCCGGTCCAGACCCATTTTTATAAGTCATCCAAACGTAGAAAAAAAAGGCGTAAATCGTCAAAATCTCATTCGAATCAAAACTACGAATACGATTTTGCAAAAAAATCAGAAAATTCACTGCAGACTTTTGAACATTAGGTCTTTAGCATCCAAATCTCTCTTAATGAATGATCTGATATCAGATCAGCATATTGATTTACTTTGTTTGACTGAAACTTGGCTGTGTCGAGATGAATATGTTAGTTTAAATGAATCCACTCCTCCCATTTTAGTACTCATATACCTCGAGACACTGGACTAGGTGGTGGAGTAGCAGCTATTTTTAATTCTAGTTTTCTAGTTAACCCTCGGCCAAAGCTGAATTTTTCTTCTTTCGAAAGCCTTGTTCTTAGAGTTTCACATCCAGTCTCAAGAACCTTTCAGCCAGTTCTAGTTGTTGTAGTTTACCGCCTTCCTGGCCCATACTCTGAATTTCTATCTGAATTTGCAGAATTTTTATTAAATTTAGCTCTTAGCAGTGATAGAATAATTGTTGTAGGTAACTTCAATATCCATGTGGATGTTGATAATGATAGCCTTAGCACAGCTTTCATGTCATTATTAGACTCTATTGGTTTCACCCACTTTAAACGAACCTACTCATCGTTTTAACCACACCCTGGATCTTGTTTTAGCTTATGGCATTGAAATCCAAAACCTTACAGTTTTCCTAGAAAATACTCTTCTATCAGACCATTTCCTTATTACTTTCGACTTTGTCCTACCAGAATTATCTCTGCTTAATAAAAATGTGCTCTCTAGAAGGTTATCTGATAGTGCTGTAGCTAGATTTAAGGAAGCTATTTTAGCTGCTTTTGATTCAGTACCGTGTTTCAACCCAGTTGAAAACTCTTATGATAGCTTTAGTCCCTCTCAGCTAGATCAGTTTGTTGATAGTGCAGTGGATTCACTGAGAGTTACTCTTGATTCGATTGCTCCCCTAAAACAGAAGGTTATCAAACGGCAGAGATTAGCTCCATGGTTCAACTCAGAAACCCGTACTCTAAAACAAACGTCACAAGATTTTGAAAGACTATGGCGCTCTACCAAAACGGTAGAATCTCGTTCATTCTGGCAGGATAGTCATATATAAATATATGAAGGCTCTACATCATGCTTGAGCTGCCTACTACTCCTCTGTAATCGAGGAAAACTAAAGCAATCCTAGATACCTTTTCAGCACTGTAGCCAGGCTGACAGAGAGTCATAGCTCCATTGAGCCTTGTATTCCTTTAGCCCTCAGCAGTAATGATTTCCAGAGCTTTTTCAACAACAAAATTCTAGACATCAGAGACAAAATTGGTAACCTCCTGCCCTTACCTGGTGCAGATACCTCTGATATGGCAGAGACAGTTCCAGGACCTGATATTAATCTAGACTGTTTTTCTCTGATCGACCTTTCAGAGCTAAATTCAATTATTTCTGCGTCGAAACCGTCAACCTGTCTTTTAGACACAATCCCAACTAAGCTGTTTAAGGAAGTCTTTCCCTTAGTTAGCAACTCTATATTAGATATGATCAATATGTCTTTACTGGCAGGCTCTGTACCACAGTCATTTAAAGTAGCGGTAATCAAACCTCTACTCAAAAAACCTACTCTAGATTCAGGAACTCTGGCTAACTATAGGCCTATATCCAACCTTCCTTTTATCTCAAAGATCCTGGAGAAAGTGGTAGCTAATCAGCTGTGTGACTTTCTCCATGACAACAGTTTATTTGAGGAGTTTCAGTCAGGATTTAGAGTCCACCATAGCACTGAGACTGCACTAGTTAAAGTTACAAACGATCTACTTCTAGCTTCAGACAGGGTCTTCTCTCTGTGCTTGTCTTGTTAGATCTTAGTGCTGCTTTTGACACCATTGACCATCAGATCCTATTATACAGACTAGAACATTTACTTGGAATTACAGGGACTGCTTTAAGTTGGTTTGAATCCTACTTATCAGACCGATCTCAGTTTGTACATATTAATGATGAGTCCTCGATACACACTAAAGTTAGCCATGGAGTCCCACAAGGTTCAGTGCTTGGACCAATTCTCTTTACATTATATATGCTTCCTCTGGGAAATATTATGAGGAAACACTCCATACAGTTTCATTGTTATGCAGATGATACTCAGCTTTATGTATCAATGAAGCCCGATGGCACCAGTCAGTTATGTAAGCTAGAAACGTGCCTTAAGGACGTTAGGACCTGGATGACCAGACATTTTTTGCTACTTAACTCAGACAAGACTGAAGTTATTGTGCTAGGCCCTAAAAACCTCAGAGAGACTTTTTCTAGTGATGTGACTGTCCTTAATGACATCAGCCTGGCATCTAGCACCACTGTTAGGAATCTAGGAGTTCTATTTGATCAAGATATGTCCATTAGCTCTCACATCAGGCAAATTTCAAGAACAGCCTATTTTCACCTTCGTAATATATCTAAGATCAGGAATATCCTGTCGCAAAATGATGTAGAAAAACTAGTTCATGCATTTGTTACCTCCAGGTTGGATTATTGTAATTCTCTTTTCTCAGGGTGCTATGGTGGGTCTCTAAAGACTCTTCAACTAGTCCAGAACGCTGCAGCTCGTGTACTGACTAGAACTAGGAAAAGGGACCACATTACTCCTGTGTTGGCTTCTCTGCACTGGCTTCCTATACAATCTAGAATAGAATTCAAGACCCTTCTTCTCACTTACAAAGCTCTAAATGGCCAGGCACCATCTTATCTTAAGGAGCTACTAGTGACTAGTCAAACTAGTTGATGGACGGCTTGCCTGAACAACCCCCCCCCCCATTTCCATATACATTGGAAAAGGCCTTTGCTAAATGCCTTGATGTAAATATTTGTGGAAGATTTTTTGCCTATTTAACCTTCATGTTCTTAAAGTGTATTTCCTTTGTTTTTGTCAGAGTTTCAATAAAGACAGATGTGGTTTGAGAAGACAATTTGAAGTTTTATTGTTTGTCTTAACATTTTAAGTTGCAATTTTAAAGGCACTGTTTATTTTATTTTTTTAAAACATGGTATTTGATAATATGACATGCAAGGATTAATTTATCAAATCACTAGGTTTAGAAAATAAATATATTGTGTCCATTTTGATAGAAGGAAATGAATCTATAGCTAGGTGTAGTATTTACAATTCACGGTAGAAAACTGTAAATTTCAGCAACAGCAATAACGTTACCGTTTTTTAACAGGGGAATTTCTAAGAGTGTAATAAACCTATGAACAAACTAGGTCAAGGATGTTCTGGGCTGAAAACAATTTCAGGGTCACTGCAGGGTCAGCCAATCAAGTCTCTATCTCTTTTTGTCTTTCCCTCGCTATAGGAGCCTGTAACATTACTGACTGTAAGTCACTCACCCAAATCACTCTGCAAACGGCAGTCAGTGTAGGGAAGGTGGGGGCAGGTGAAAAGTATGGGAGAACCTTTTCACGTTTCCCCCTCCCCTTAACCTTTTCACAGAGCCTAATATATAAGTGACAAAGCAGCTCCGCTCACCTGTATATCCACTCACTATTTCTGACTCCAGACACTGAGGTAAGGTCTTCCAAAGCCAAGTTTTAAACCAGTTGATTGAGATTTGAATGTTCTATCAGTGTGTTTGGTATTGGCATGTAGCAGTTCTGTGCTTTTTGGATGCTCTATCTCACTCTCTCTCTCTCTATGTCTCTCTCTCTGTCTTCTTGCTCAATCATGACTGTCTGCTCTTTTCAATATAGGGCTTCATTTACTACAGCAGAATTAGTTTTCTGCAAATGTGAGGAATTAAAAACAATTTAAAAAAGGTTACAATCCCAATGGGGCTAGGAAACTTTAAGAATCCTAAATTGGCTTTTGCTTCTATTTTATTTTTTAAACGTTCAATAAATATTGGCTGGAAACTGGAAAGGTTTTGTAGAAAATTATCAAGCAGAGATCCACAGACTTGTATAACCTACTGGATACAGCTCATCTTCCATTAAGATATGAATATGCACTTCTTGATTTAGAATTAAGAAATGCATATGTACTTCTTCATTTTATATTTAAAAGATTCTTTGAATGTTTTCATTATCTCAAAAATGGTCCTGGATCTCATTTTTCTTAGCTGAGCCAAAAAGTGTTACAATGCCTCCCCCCGGTGTGTGTCTGAACATTATGGAGGCTCGTCAGAAGAAAGAAGGTTATGGAAGTGCTGACAACCCTGAGAAGTTTCTCAACCAAGACTATCAGCAGCTGAAACAATACTGCCTCATCCAAGGAGTGAGATACATAGATGAGATGTTCCCCCCTGACAGGAACTCCATCGGTGAAAGGATACTGAGTCCCTCTGACATGGACCGAGTGGTTTGGCTGAGACCATCGGTGAGTATTAAAAAAAATGTTCAGTGTATCACTGATGCAATAGCTTGTTGTATTCTGTAACTGACAGTAAATTAATTACCGTATGTTGAGCTAAAACTGATCATTTTTCCAATGATTCGATGTTTTGCATTTTAGAATAATCGCCAGGCTCTGCACCCAATCCCTACCTGGCTAGACTGAAAGTTGCATGTTTTGTCTTTGTAACTAGTAAAGACACTAGACGATGGTAATATTCATATTTAATGCATATTTAATGCCATACAAGCTGCTTGTAGTCATGTTTGTTTTCAGGTCTCTAGTGAATATTCTTACAATTCTCAGCATGCCTTGTGACACTGTTTAAAACTATTTAAGGGGCTAAACACATTTTTATTCTTCCAGTAGTTAACCCTTTATGGCCAGTATTCTTTGCAGTTAGGTTAGCTCATGTCCTGGGTGTGCTGCAGGGTATGGATAATGTTGGAAGACTGTTTCTTGATATGGAAAACTGCTTAGAGTCTAAGGCTCAGTCCCACAGTTTGTAAAGCTGAATTTGGGAAAGAAGTTGTTTTGAATGGAATTTTAGAATTTGACTACAAAATAGTTTAATGGCCATTATATTTAGTAAGAATAATTTATTTACATGTGTAATACTTCAGTATTGCTGTGTGTCTGTTAGTATCTAATCAAACTACTTTAAACCTTGAAAGAGTTTTTTTTTATTCTGTTCTTATTTGTTTACACTGTCTTTATTTCAGAAAATTGCTCCAAATCCAGCCTTTGTAGTTGATGGATTGTCAAGGTTTGACTTTGGTCAAGGGCTTATAGGTAAAGTAGTTTATTATTTGTAAGAATTAACTGTTGTGCATTTTTGTTTTCTGACAACTCAATGACCATATTTCCTCAGGAAACTGCTGGTTCCTTGCATCTATTGGAGCTCTAACATTCCAGGAAAAGATCCTTGGGCAAGTCGTCCCCCTTGAGCAAACGTTTGAGGAAAACTATTGTGGGCTGTTCCACTTCAGGGTAAATACTAGAAGCAAACCTGGTTGTTATTTTTGAGTGGGATCATTTCATTAAACACTGACTGAACATTCACATTCTGCAATAATGATTTAATTTATAGTCACAAAAATGTAGATTAATCTCAAAAAGGACCATCAATAACTTTGTATGATCCGTAACAAGTGACAGTTATCACTATGAGCTCACAAAAGAAACAAACTTCACAAGTACCTTTTTTTAGCATTAAATGCATTCAGTACTTTGGAATCCATTGAAATTTCCTTGAAATACTCCTTTGGAATACTTGAAAGACTTTCCCAATGGTTTTAAGACTGAACTGTACAATTTCCTTTGAAATAATTGATATATAGAAAATATTTAAAAACAAACACCATTACTCATCCAACAATATGAGAAATAAATGTTGTGATAATCCAAGCATAACACTGGTGACAAATGACACATACAGTGACTTTTTTGTTTTGGGTTAACTGCCAATGATTCATAAATGGATCTAATGTGAAGAGGAACTTTATTCCTTTTTCTTTTGACATTTCAGTTCTGGAGATTTGGGAGGTGGGTGGATGTCATCATTGACGACAAGCTTCCAACAATCAATGGAAGACTTATCTTTGTTCACTCCAAAGACCAAAACGAGTTCTGGCCTGCTTTGATGGAAAAAGCATATGCCAAGTAAAGAACAGTTATATTTTCCAGACTTGAATTTATTTTATTTTGTTATTTTTGTCCAATTTCTTGATCCATCATATTAATATAACACAACCATATGTTAGGGTGTGTGGTTCTTATACCGATATGAACGCTGGAACTCCTGCAGAAGCCATGATGGACTTCACTGGTGGTGTTCACATGTGTATCCAGCTGTCAGATCCCCCTCAAAACCTTTGGGAGCTAATGTACAGGGCTAGCCAGTCCAAGACCTTGATGGGCTGTGGTACATTTCAAGGGGTGAGTTTAATTCTTCTCCTGATGACAATACGTCAACCTTTTTCATCTGAGAGCTACTTTCAAAAAATGAAAATGGCCAAGGGCTACTTGCATCAAATCGCTTGCATTTATTTACATAGCTCACATCAGCTGAATTAAGCTACTGTTTGTACATGTGTGAAATTACAATAAGCCAATGCTTACAATAATTTTAAATTCACATCAATGTCTAAGAAAACATTAGTACTTCATACTTGTTTTTATGGGCCAAATATATGAATAGTGGGAAGAGGTGCATTTACCGTCGTCAGATTTTTATTTGTATTTTTAACACAGTCGGTCAACCTATAGGCGAGCTACTAAAAACCTGCCCGTGAGATACCAGTAGCTCCCGAGCTACCTGTTTGGAGACCCCCTGCCATATACCATAACGTTTCCGCACTTGTTTTTCCTTCTTTTTTTGAAATATTTACTTCACCTACTGTAATCCCACATGAAGCAATAGCCCAGTGCTTAGCTTAGCACAAAAAAATAGAAATAGTCACGAGTGTGGTGTCCAACTTCTTACCTCCCTCTTGGGGAAAGAGTAGATTAATGTATTAAAATGACTTTAAGTACACCCATCTTTTATTCATAATGTATTAGCTGATTGTTGTTAAATGTTTATAGAGGCTGCTCTCACACTCGTCCTTTTCAGACTTCCCTTTTATTTTTGACTGAACATAGACACTGTTCTGGTTTTTTAAAAAACACATTTGTCTTTTTTATTAATGAAGGTTGTCTTTGGCTTTTAGGAAACATCTGACAATACCATATTGTTAAATGGATTAGTCCAAGGCCATGCATACACTGTGACTGGTGTTAAACAGGTGAGGACTTATTCATAACGGTTATTGACAAGAAGCAAACTTATTTCTGGAATTGTTATTGTAATGATGTTCATAACAATGGCTCTGTCATGATGATACTTTTCAGTTGATGAGCCAAGAGAAACTGGTCGAGCTTGTGCGTTTGTGGAACCCCTGGGGCAAAGGAGAGTGGAAGGGAGACTGGAGTGATCGGTAGTACTAACTTACACTTGACTGTCTCACAAAAACATGTCTGTAATTAAATGTAGGAGATGAATACGGAGAATTTTTAGTGGCAAAATAAGAGGACTTATTGCATCTATTCACTGTAACACACACTTGTACTCAACTGTCTTTAAAACTCCTGTGAGGAATTTTTTGGTTTGCTTTGGTTTGCATCCCCTATGTCTTTAAGCAGTCAAATTAATCACTTCCTGTAAACTGTTAAGTCGGTTCACAATCTGTTTCATGTCCAAAAATAAACAAACAAAAAAACCTAACAGGAACTTTAAGAATGCTTTTCACCACTTTTCATGACTACTTTTAACTGCAAACGCAAAAGGTCGCTACTAACAGGGGTCTTGATCTTTTCTCATACTCCTTTAAGGGGTGTTCACTGTACATTCTGTATGTAGGCCATGAAAGGATTATAAAGGTCATTTTAGAAAGGGGCTTTGAGGAGCCTATACAAACTGTCTTTAGAAAATCTCCCTCCGGTTATTAGAATATGGTTTTTCCAGCTACAGTGAAAAGAGCTCCTGCCCTGAAGGCAGCTTAAAAGATTGTAAAAGATAACATCTGCACTGCATTCCCCACTGACAGTGACATATGTTAAAGCTGGCCTCTTAAAACATTTGATAATCGAACAATTCCTTCTCTCCTACTTCTTGAAATTTCTCCAAGGTCATCCCTGTGGAAAACTGTAAATGCTGAAGATCGTGAAATGTGCCTTTCAGTGGTGGATGATGGAGAGTTTTGGTAAGAACAAGCTGCAGAGGGCAGCATCCAGCCATGCTATAACTCTTTTTTTAAACAAATATAGTCTTGTGTATATTAATACTGTGTTTGAAATATATGAGGGCTTTTTTTGCCCTCATATAGTCGCCAAGCGTCTTATACAACTAGTTGTCTTGTTCCCCCCCAATATAAAATATGTCTTTAATTTCATCTGCATATGTCTCTGATGTCAACAGGATGACCCTGAAGGACTTTAGTACGTTTTACTCAAATCTTGACATTTGCTCCTTGTGTCCTGACTTCCTTGATGGAAATCAATCCTGTTACTGGAAGAGTTCTTTACATGAGGGAAGATGGGTTGCAGGAACCACTGCTGGAGGATGCATGAACAATCAAGGTATTTCAAGCTCTTCTTTTTTTCTTCCATTACCCAGCTCATAATCTCAAACTGTCTTCAAGGCAGCAGAAAAGCATTCTACAAATAAAAAGCTGGATGTTGTTTGAGTGATTTCACTGATCTAGTGAACAGTACTAAAGGGATACTTCACCCGTTGAAACATGAATCTGAATTACATTGGGTCATATATGTATTAGAAATGTGAAATACATTTTGAAGTTGGTGCCTTCTTGGCCGAGAAAAGGCAGAAAGTGTCTTTTTGGCTCATGTTGATGAAAGACACCAAATCCCAGAATGCACAGCACCGCAGGCCACTCCCACTAAGGTCCTCTAGTTCAGAATCAGAAATACTTTATTACTTTATTACTTTATAAATTTGATCGATACAGTTTCTCCAAACTATACAGTATAGCAGTAGAAATATAGTAATAAAAACATTTACAGACATATTTACTTCAACACATAAGGCCATTTCCTCAACTGATTCAGAGATTTCTTCCAGAATTGATCTTGGAAATTCCTGGCAGAAAACAGACTCTATGTCTGTGTCCATAGGCAAACAGTGAGAGCACCGACACTACCAGTCCGCCCCAGCTCGAGCCGGCCCCGGCTCCTCGTCCTCACCGGCGCCGACAGGCAGGCCTTATGTCTCGGCTGTTGAGGTGGCAGCGGCTGGCGGCGGCCAGCAATATAGCAGCGAGACGGTTGCTGCCGACAGGCCAGTCTTGTGTCGCGTCGGCCCCTGCGGCCAGCGCTAGGGACCCCAGCGGCTATCGGCGGCCAGCGACGGCCCTGGGAGTTAAAACACAAGACCGGCCTGTCGGCAGCATCCATCTCGCCGCTATATTTATATTTTTTCGCCATTATCAGCTTTCTCCATAGAGCCTGTCAGCATAGCTTCCAAGCAATATGGCGGACGTTAAGTTTCGATTCTGGGAGTGAGTTCCCACCCACTGATTTGTGATTGGTCTGTAGCTTCAGTGGTCAAAAATATGAGGAACTAGCATTGTTGTTTCCCACCGGTAACCGCAACAGCTTCCAGTGACAAAAAAAAATGACGATATTTGCGCCACTGGAAACTCCTTTTCAGACTTAGAAATACAGAACTTTCCCGTCTCAGGGGGAAATGAAGGCGGGATGCATGACCATTCAAAAATACTACCAGGTTTCTAATGATAGAAAGCTTAATGCAAATGGGTGAAGTATCCTTTTAAAAATAAGACAAATAATAGTTATAATAAAGATCATCCTACCCTAACTCTAATACACAACTTCCACATAAGATGCTACAGAATACAGTTCTCATCTGTTTTAATGCTGTACTGTAATGAAGTGTTCATTCTGTAATAAATAAATTGATATTTCCAAATCAGGAACATTGAACGTTTTTCAGCTCGCCTTGTCTTTTTATTTCATTATCTGTTCCATTACTCACACTAACATTTTGATTTTAATGTCAATTCAAGACAGTTTCTGGACTAATCCACAGTACCAAGTCAGAATCGATGGTGAACATTCAGAGAAACATGGTGACAAAAACATGTTGGTGTCTCTCATGCAAAAATCTGACAAGAGGAACAGGCGCCTGGTCCAGAACCTGCACATTGGATTTTCTGTATTTGAGGTAATATGTTTTTTTTTTTTTTTTTTTACTACATCAGTGTTTTTGGATTATAAGCACAAGGTGTCCACATTTTTGTGACTTGCCGGGTAAGGGAACAATATTTCTTCAGTTTAGTTTTAGAAAATAGACATCTTCCCTAAAATGTAAAAAAAAACTTCTATTTGTTGTATTTAACAGCAAGAATTTTTTAGACGGGCCTACCTGTTTACTAGCTGGTAAAAAAAAATGTTCAGATTGAATCTACTGCTTACATGTTTGTAGCTTTATTGTCAGAAACTCAAAAACAACAACACAACATCATTATATTTTGAAAATAATTCACATCACACACTTTTCTTCCAATATAGAACTTGACTTTTGGTCAGATTCTGCCTATAATTCTGAGTTACTGTATATTCATAAAAACATAATACTGTGTTAAATCTTATGCTGATAATAAATGTATTGCTCTCTGTCCCATTCTCTTCTGCTGTTTTCTCTGAAGGTGACTGGACATGTAAGAAACAATTTCATTCATATTAAGATTCTCCAGTATTTGAATAAACTGCAGTGAATTGATACATGCGTTTATAATCACAGAAGTCGCAGGCGGGTAAATTCCCAGCCTCGTTCTTCAGCAACAACACACCTGTTGTGCAAAATAAAAGCTATATGAATGCTCGTGAGGTGATGGAGCTTTTTACGCTGAAGCCTGGTGAATACCTGATTGTGCCGTCCACCTTCAAACCCAATGAGACTGCATCCTTCATCCTGACCATTCTCTCCAAAGCAGAGACCCACGGCTAGTATGTTTCCTTTCTTATTCTACTGTGTGTCTCGCAGTTTAAATACAAACAATCCAGAAATGACAAATATATCAGACATAATGATTCACAGTCACGCAAAGCAAACGTGCATTGCGTATGTCACAAACTCCTGGTGTTGTATGTTGGGGGAAAATTCAACGCATTAATCCTATTTGGAATGTGCTTGGTATTTTCCGACAGTGAGAACTCTGGTGACCACAAACATGAGCCAGTTGGAAAGGTGGGTATATATATGAATTATTTAACAGTAATGAGGTCCAAGTCAATCAGATATTTTACACTATACTCACTACCTTTTAAAACAAGTTTTCAAGTTCCTTCATCTTTTTCCCTACTTTTGTTTTTCAGCTCAAAAACGTCTCAAATGTGCAGGATGATGAAAACAAGAAAAAATTATTCCGCCAACACTCTGACAAGGTAACAATTGTCACTCTCACATTTGACCTTATTGCATGTTAACTGTTGACTGAGGATTACAACTTGGGTCCTATTATTTAACTCTTCAATAAAAAACATAAAATAATAAAGAAAAGTTTAAAACTAGAGTGTTTCTACATGAAAAATAGGTCAAAGCACAATACATGACATGAAAGTGACAAGTTATTAGTACACACTTACTCTGGAGTTTTAAGAGTCGGAACTGAAAAAGAAAATCAATTCTTTATTTGGGGAATATGAGTGTGGAGAACACAAGTATTTGAACACGTGTGACTGCTTTTGCTCTATCCAATGTTTTTCTCTATTTGAATTAGCAAATTAGTTGCTCTGATGGCAACAGGTGGAAGAAAGGGTTCTGGCAATAAGTTAACTTCTCGTGCAACAGACGACGGGGAACTTGCCGAGCTAGTTAAGCTAGCAGTTGCAGAAGCTATCAAGGATGCTATCCTTGATGGTTGATGGTTATCATGCAGGCTGATGTTTCTAAATGTGTTAAACACATGGAGGAAGGTGGACAGCAGACTCAGTGCGTCTGTAAACAAGCTTGCTGCGCAACACGCCAGACTTGAGGACAAGATGAGATGAGATGAGATGAGATGAGATTCAACTTTATTGTCATTACACATATACAAGTATAGAGTAACGAAATGAGGTTTGGCATCTCACCAGAAGTGCAAATAAGCAGAAAGTGCAAGAGTCTGTGCTATGTACAGTAATTACAAAATTTACAGATGTAGACTAAAAAAAAGTGAATTATTAGGTATATATGGATGGCTGGATTAATGGGATGCTATAAATATAAATAAATGCTATAAATATAAGTGTATTCTTAGGATTATAATATACAGATTAAGGTGCAGTGAGCATGCTATACTAATAATATACAGATTAAGATGCAGTGAGCATGCTATACTAGTTTACAGATAATATAAAGAATATGGACATAATATGAACATACTATAATACAATAATACAGGTGGATGAGAGATGTGTGTGTGTGACCAGGAGGAGTGGTGGGGGGATGATGGGTGTGAGGTGATATGCAGGGGAAAGGGGGGGGTCACAGGGGGCGGAGAGAGAGAGGGAGAGAGAGAGAGAGGCAGAGTTCAGAGTTCGGGGGGTAGAGTTCAGTAGAGAAACAGCTCTGGGGAAAAAGCTGTTCCTCAGTCTGCTGGTTCTGGTCCGGAGGCTTCTGAAGCGCCTGCCGGAGGGCAGGAGGGTAAACAGTCTGTGGGCAGGGTGGGAGGAGTCACCTCCCAGGAAGTGGACACCTTGTGATGCGCTGGGCGGTTTTTACCACCCGCTGTAGCGCCTTACGGTCTGTGACAGAGCAGTTTCCGTACCAGACTGAGACACTGCTGGTCAGGATGCTCTCGATCACACAGCGGTAGAAGTTCATCAGTACAGCTGAAGACAGGTGGTGTCTCTTCAGTGTCCTCAGGAAAAAGAGGCGTTGATGAGCCTTCTTAACCAGACTGGAGGTGTTAGTGGACCAGGAGAGGTCCTCTGTGATGTGGGTCCCCCAGGAACTTGAAGCTGGAGACACGGTCAACAGCCATCCCGTTGATGTGAATGGGGTTGTGCGTGCTTCCTCTTTCTCTCCTGAAGTCCACGATGATCTCCTTCGTCTTGCTGGTGTTGAGGAGCAGGTTGTTGTCAGCACACCAGCTGTACCTCCTCCCTGTAGGCTGTGTCATCGTTGTTGCTGATGAGGCCAATCACCGCCGTATCGTCCGCAAACTTGATGATGGTGTTGGATCCATGTACAGGTCTGCAGTTGTGGGTGAAGAGGGAGTAGAGGAATGGGCTCAGCACACAGCCCTGTGGTACGCCTGTGTTGAGTGTGATGGTGGTGGAGCAGGTGTGTCCTGACCTAACATACTGGGGTCTGTTGGTCAGAAAGTCCATTATCCAGTGACGGAGGGAGGTGTTGAAGCCCAGGTGTTTAACTTGGAGGGGATCAGAGTTGAATGCTGAGCTAAAATCAACAAACAGCATTCGTGCGTATGTGTTGTTATTGTCCAGATGTGTGAGCACAGAGTGCAGCGCAGTGGAAACTGCATCCTCTGTACTCCTATTGCTGCGGTAGGCAAACTGGTATGGGTCCAGTGTGGGTGGGAGGCAGTTTTTCAGGTGTGCTAGGACCAGTCGCTCAAAGCACTTCATTATGATGGGTGTGAGTGCTACAGGGCGGTAGTCATTCAGGCCTGTCAGGCTGGAGTGTTTCGGCACTGGGACAGTGGAGGTGGCTTTGAAGCATGCTGGCTGCAGAGGGGCTGGTTGTCTGCAGGAGGTCTGGTCGTGGTCTGCGTCTCCCTGTTGTCTCTATTGAAACGAGCATAAAAGTGATTTAGCTCATTCAGGAAGGAGACATCTGTGGTTATCGGGGTGGAGTTTCTGGGTTTATAGTCACTGATGGCCTGGATGCCCTGCCACATGCGTCTGGGGTCGGAGTTGGAGAAGTGTTCCTCTACCTTCAGCTTGTAGCAGTGCTTGGCCTTGATGATGCCCCTCCTCAGGTTTGCCCTGGATACGCTGTAGGCCATTGCATCATCTGATCTGAAGGCGGTATTGCGGGCCTTCAGCAGGAGACGCACCTCCTTGTTCATCCATGGCTTCTGATTTGGGTACGTGGTGATCTGCTTCCATGTTGTAACACTGTCGATGGTGGTATTGATATAGTCCAGCACAGAAGAAGTGTAGGTGTCAATGTCTGTGTGAGAGCCCAAGGTAGCCTGAGAAGCAAACATACTCCAGTCTGTGTGATGGAACTTGTCCTGAAGTACAGAGTCTGTCCCCGCTGGCCACACTTTAATCGCTGTTACTGATGGCTTCACACGTTGGATGAGTGGGGAGTACTTGGGGATGAGGAACAAAGAAAGATGGTCTGACTGTCCCAGGTGGGGGAGGGGGGTCGTGGTGTAGGCTCCTGCGATGTTTGTGTAAACATGGTCCAGAGTTTTGTTTCCTCTTGTATTGCAGGAAACATGCTGGTGAAATTTAGGGAGCATTGTCTTTAAGTTTGAGTGATTAAAATCACCTGCAACTATAAATGCAGCCTCTGGGTGAGCAGTCTGTTGTTTACTGATAGCGGTGTAAAGTTCCTTCATAGCAGCTTTTGCATCGGCATCAGGGGGGATGTAGGCTGCAGTGGAGCTGAGCTCCCTTGGCTGATAGAAAGGTCTACATTTAACCATGAGAAACTCAATGTTAGCTGAGCAGTGTCTCCCAATAATGACAGAGTCTGTACACCAAGCTTTGTTAATATAGATGCACAGCCCTCCTCCTCTGGTCTTACCGGAGTCCTCTACTGTTCTGTCTGCCCGGAGTGTGTGGCGACCGGCTAGCTTGATAGCATCGTCAGGTACTCCGTTGTTTAGCCATGTTTCCGTGAAGATCATGACATTACAGTCCATAAGTCTCTTGCTGTGGATGATGCGAAGTCGTAACTTGTCCATTTTGTTCACCAAAGACCGCACATTAGCGAGGAAAATGCTGGGTAACGGGAGACGGTGCGGTGTTAGCTTTAGCTTAGCTCTTATACCTCCGCGCTTCCCCCGCCTTTGTTTACAGTCTCGACACCGCCTGCGAGCACTTCCGCCCGGCCGGGTAGAGTGCGTAGCCTCGGGTGTTTTGGCGATCTCGGGTATGAGTCGAAGATTGTTGATTAGATCGTCAGGGAGGTGTATTCCAATATCCAAAAGTTCCTGTCGGGTGTAGGATGTTAAGGCGAGGCTGTTCCGTGCGAACAGACCCGAAATTAACAATAAAATTACTGCAAAATTGCAAATCTGAGAGAGACGCTGGGCCTCGCGATGCGCTCGCGCCGCCATCTTGGTCTGTGTACCGCCATCTTGGTCTGTGTACCGCGTACTGTGTACTGTGTACTGACATGGTCGCGCAGAGATAATGTACGTGTGCACGGCGTCCCTGAAAACGCAGAGTCATCTCATGCTCTTGCTTACATGTCGGATGCCATTCCACAATGGTTTCCAGATTTGGGTTCTGTTGAAATTATGCGTGCACACCACTTAGGTGCTCCTAGGGTCAACGCAAATGGCAAGCCCATTCCCCGTTCTCTTATTCTGAAGCTGCTACGTTTCACAGACAGAAACAAGATCCTTAAAGCTGCGCGGAGCACTCCAGTGGAGCTAGAGGGAAAGACCATCTGTTTCGCTCCTGACTACAGCCCGCACACCTTCAAGGTGTGACGACTGGCTTTCTCCGTTGCCATTGCTACCCTGCAGAAGCTCGGCTATCGTACTTTTCTCCTTTATCCTGCGAAAGTCAAGGCGACACGCGATGGAGTGAGCCATATCTTCAACACCCCACAAGAGGCGAAGGATTTCATTAACACCCTCGAATAGGGTCTTTATCCTTTCAGGTAATTTAGCCAGCTGTTTGATTTGCATTAATATGCAATCCTGATAGGTTACTGTGCTTGTTCTGGACTAGCAAATAACAAGCAAAAATCATATCAAGTAGCCTAACTTCCTTAGTATGTCTATTCATTTATTTTCTTCTATATTTGTTTGTTTAGATGACCTTGTTTGTTTCAATAATACTGCTGGCTTAAATGTAAGCAATTTATGTTGTTGTTGACTATATAGGCTATATACAGGTAGTTATTGGCCCGTGTTTATATATATATATATATTTTTTTATTTATCATTATTAACATTTCTATTATTTTTTAAGAATTGCTGACCTCAATATTTAGCATTTGCATTAATGAGCAAACCTAACAAGATGCCTGAAGCCTTTAAGTTACTGTTTTATTAAAAAAGGCTGATGTTATTAGCACGATGCCACTGTATAGACCCTTTTTCTTTCTTTCTTCTCATTTATTTACTTTATTGTTTGTTTTCATCACTCTGTTATATTGTGTGTGGTAGCACAGTAGTGCTAAGGTGCAAATGTTTATGCTACCCTCGGACGGAGCCAGTGGCTGCATTCCCAATATGGTAAAAGTGGTGGGATATTTCCGAGAACCGTGCTGAGTGACTGACCAATTACAGCAGAGCCAACAGGCCGACCAATCAGATCAGACTTGGCACACGTGGGGACTCTGAACATGGGCACTTCAGAGCCTTAGAGAGAGAGTCAGAAGCGAGCCGGTGCATGGAGCAGCAGTACATGAAAACAGACACTTTTTTCAAACTTTAGCTATTGTGAACATACAATAGCTAGGTACATAGGTTAAATATATGAACCCCAGTTGCCATAAACCCTGGTTTATGGCGACTGGGGTTTTGGGGGTGGTTTGGATCTCTCTTGTTACTCTACATTTGGTTTAGAGGAGACACAAGGACACATTGGGCATTTGGCCAGCTGGGGATTGAACCCTTGACCTTCTGGTTGAGAAGTGACGACTCTACCAATTGAGCCACTGCCACCCCTTATATTTATACAAGAACCTAATTTCAGGACTGTAGACATTCGTCGTTTTTCGAATAAGCACTATTATGTGGCTGCATCTGCAGCACTGGACACCAAAACCAGGGGTTCGCTGGTGGTACTGAAACGTAGTATTTCAATGAATATATTGGTGCAATTTGGCAGTGAGGATGGTAGGATCTCTTATATCAAAACCATTATATCTGGGCGCAAGTTTGCTTTTATTTCTGTTTACGCTCCGTCACAATATGATCCTGAGTTTTTTCCTAATTTAACTACAATATTACTGAATCTCCAGGAGTTCTCACTTGTTTTGGGCGAAGACATGAATACAGTTGTTGACTTGAAGTTGGATAAATCTGTTAGGCACTCTACAGCTAATCAGTTACGAGCATCTAAGGACCTTCTGAGTCTGTTGTCGGCACTTAGTTTAATAGACCTGTATCGCACAATTAACCCCACATCTAAACAATACACTTTTTACTCTTCAAGACATCCAAGTTTTTCACAAATAGATTATATATTACCTTTCCTGCATCTTTTTCTGAGATACATACTGTAGTAATTAAACCCTGTTCTCTATTGGATCACAGTATTGTCTCGACACATTTGACACTCTTAGGCATGCCCTCTAGAGCATCGCGTTGGCGATTTAATGCTTCACTTCTCAAAAATGAAGATTTCTGCGTCTTTCTTAAAGAAAAACTGAACACCTTTATAGATTTAAATGAAGGCTCAGTGGATGACCCCAGGTTTTTATGGGATGCCATAAAAGGCTGTATTAAGGACTCCTCAATCACATTTTCTTCTCACCTTAATAAAAAAAGACTGAGCAAAATAACTGAGCTGGAGAATACTCTCACCCAGCTTGAGGTACAACAGCAAGCCACATACTCGGAGGCCTTGCAATGGAGAATAGCAGTGACAAAGTCGGAATTGAACTCTTTGCTGAGACGTAGAGCTGAGTTTCTGATGCACGGAACCAGAAGAACATACTACTTTAAAGGTCCCATATTATGCTTTTTCTGGTTTTATATGCCCTTTAGTGTGTTTTCCAAGTGTCCTGTGCATGTTTAGGCACATCTATGTGCAAAAATTCAAAGTCCGCGGAAACGCGGCTTCTCCTACCTCCTCCTGTTAGCTGTAGCATTAGCCGCATGTAACGCTCGGTTCTAGCCCCCCTCGATAAAAATTTGTCAGCCCGACGTCATTGTCAGTGTGAGATCACTGATCTAAGTCCATTGGCTCATTGTGGCAAGCCCAGCTGCTCATGTTGAAATTCAGAGACGCATGCTGAGCAACTGACCAATAACGACAGAGCGGATCGGCAGACCAATCAGAGCAGACATGGCCCACGTGGGGTCTAACAGTCTGGGCTCAACAGAGTGCAGCTGACGGACTCAGAGCGTAGAGGGAGCAAGGAGGAGCAGTACATGAAAACAGACACTTTTTTCGGACTTAAGCTATTGTGAATGTACAAAAATAGGTACATAGATTGAATATACGAACCCCAAAAAGGACATAATATGGGACCTTTAACGGAGCCAGACCGAGCCATCTTTTAGCCCTACGACTGAAAAGTAATGAAAAATATTCAAATATAATGGCCATTAAAACACCTTTACATATTTTGAGCGATCCTCGTGATATCAACACCGAATTCAAAACTTTTTATTCTACTCTATATAAATCTGAAATTTCACTCAATACTGATACATGCTCACGCTTTCTACTACAGTAATTATCGACCTCTCTCACTCTTGAACGCAGATATTAATTTGTATGCTAAAGTTCTAGCAACCCGTTTAGAAGTACAGCTGATAAAATTAATACATAATGATCAAACTGGCTTCATTAAAACCCGTCTGGCTTCTGACAATGTACGCCTGTTGCACATGATTCACGCAACGGACAGTATTGATTCTCCCTGCTTGGTTCTATCACTCAATGCTGAGAAAGCCTTCGATAGGTTAGAATGGGAGTATCTCTGGACTACATTGTATACATTCGGACTAGGTAGACAGTTTATTCGTATGATCAAAGTCTTATATGCAAACCCTTTAGCAATGGTCTGCACAGGAAATATTTGCTCCACCCAATTTCCAGTATCTAGGGGTTCTCATCAGGGTTGCCCCCTGTCGCCACTGTTATTCGCTCTCTCCCTTGAGCCATTGGCTCAGAAAATAAGACGACATCCATTAGTGCATCCGAACACTTTTTGCAATACAGAACACCGGATATCATTGTATGCTGATGACATTCTCCTTTATGTAGGCAATGCAGGCTCTTCAATACCTTATTTGCTCTCTACATTTGATTCATTCAGCTTGCTATCTGGATATAAAATTAACTGGACAACGTTGGCATTAATGCATTTGAACTCAGTTACATCTCAAACTCCACTGCCTTCACATATACCAATAGTTAAGAGTTTCAGATATCTTGGCGTTGATATCTTTCCCTTTGCAACAAAAAAATTTCAAGGTATATACAGTCGTATAGAGAAAGATTTTGAACGCTGGTCTAATCTCCCGTATATCAATAGTTAAAATGGATGTACTACCTTGTCTTAACTTTTACTCGTCTATGGTCCCTCTTACTCCCCCAATAGGGTATTGGGAAAGGCTTCACTCATTATCTCCAAATTTATATGGAAAGCTAAGAGGCCCCTTTTGAAATTCACAACTCTCCAGCGTGCGAAGATACAGGGAGGGCTGGCCCTGCCAAATTTTAAGGTGTACTTTTGGTCCTTTGTGTTACGTCCTCTCTCTACATGGTCCAATCCTAGCTCCTCTGTCGCTTGGAGACCAATTGAGGAGAATATTTCGCTACCTCATAGGTTGCAGGATCTAGTGTATTCCGACATGCCTTTGAAAAAAGCCAAATTGCGTCTTGGACCTATAATTTCATTTCTGCTTACAACCTGCCGTACTGTCATGAGACATGTCCACTCAGACCTTATGTGGCACAATCATTCACCTATATTCAACAATTTCTCGCTTCTTACTGGTAATATACCTTTCTCTTTCCCATGTTGGAGGAGCAGGGGTATTCATGTTTTAAAAGACTTGAATAACAACAATGGGTTATGAGCCTTTAATGATTTACAAGCTGCATATAATCTACCAGGATAATCCTTTTTTTTTATTTACAGCTAAGATCAGCCATGAAGACATATGGTGTCCCATGGGGATCAGCGTTGCCCACACGCCCACTTCACAAACTGTTGCACACAGTAGGACCCACACAAGGAATGGTTTCTAGACTTCACAAATTTATTTCAGAGTCTAACAACTCATTACCAGTGGAGGCTACGTGGAATAGGGACTTATCTATGATAAGCGCTAAACAGATTAGCTGGAACACAGTGTGGAAAAACCTGTGTGCTACATAAAAATCCTGATCACCAATTAATACATTACACATTCATTCATAGGATGTACCTCACCCCTAGGAAACGGCACTCTATGAAGATTATTACATCTCCCAACTGTGACTTATGTTCACTCAGTGTGCTGGGGTGGTTTATGCACATGTACTGGGAATGCCCCGATGTGGTCACATTCTGGAAGCAAATAATTTCAACTCTAAGTGACATGCTTAAAGCTAAGATCCCGCTTTCACTGACTTTGCTCCTGCGTAATGATGGTTCCGGTTCAAACTTGTCTTTGCAGCAGAGGCGCATTTTATGGGCTGGTCTCACTGCAGCAAAGAAAATGTCGGCATTAAGATGGCAACCGCCACATTCCTTGACCTGGTAACGTTGGGCCAACTCTCTTCTTGAAATTGTTCAGATGGAATGGTCTGTGGCCCAAATGCATGGGGCCAGCCTTAAGACCCTCAAAGCATGGGATGCAGCCTACAATATAGTTAAGGTTAAGGATGTGTTTTCATTTTCATTTCATTTCATTCATGTTTTCCTTGAGAGATCCGGGTTGGGGATGTATGTGGGGTCGCCACGGGGTGGATGGGGTTGGGGGAAGGTTTGAATGTTTGATTGATCCTGATGATAACGTACTTGTCTTTGCTGCTCTCAAACTGAACTTTTAGTGGTAGCCATAACAAATGCTTTTGGTAGGATTGCAAAAGATTAAAAGATTTTCCACAAGATAAGTTGAGTTTATTCTTTGGCTAATAAATAAAGGAAGTTTTATCACAGATGTGCTTACTTGATATGTGACAGGGATTGTAGACTGATACAGGTACCAGAACGACTCTGGTTGTCCCCCATATGTTTGTCATATACAATGACAGTTAGTGTTTTTTTCAATTAACATCCAGGAGTCTTTAAACTTTCCCTGAAGCTTTTGTTCTTGACTAAATTTTGTTTTTATTTTATTTCTAGTATGAAGAAGTGGATGCTGAGCAGCTTCAGAGACTTCTGAATGACAGAATGCTCAAAGGTCTGGACTGAAAATAATAGTAGCTAACCTAACGCGACATACAGTACATTACACATTTTTTGAATGGAAAATCCCCTTTATGTTGAAAGGGGTAAGGATATAGAAGTTTTACTTCTGTTCCTTTTTATTATCTTATTTAAATTCTTTGGTTAGAAATAAAATCTTTCATTAATTTATTAATTCATGCTATTTTAGGGTTTAGGTCACATTTGTCTCTTGCTGATTTTTCCATGTCTTCTTCTGATATTATAGGCGACCTAAAGTTTGGAGGATTCAGCCTTGATGCCTGTCGCAGCATGGTGGCTCTGATGGATGTATCCTGTTGTAAAGCATATTAAGATGAAAAAGAACAAGAACAAGATTATGAATAAGTTGTAGTACTTCACTTCAAAATAGTGCCTTAGGCATTTCCTTTATGGTGAATGGGTGAAGCTTGTACTGTGCTTTTCTTCTGACTACTCAAAGCACGTCTTACATTGTAGGTCACACTCACACCACATTCACAAACTGATGCTGCAGAGGCTGCTGTGTTAAGTGTCCATCTGTAATAACTAATGCCATTCACTCACATTAAAGCTGCAGGAGCCAACTCTACCACTGAGACACTTTGAGTTGGCATAACTCACAGTACTAAACATGAATGTCTTGTTAAAGGTCAGACAAAACTTTTGACATTTATTCACCTTAACGATGGATTGAAAAGACATCAATCACTGGAAAACTGAATGGTGAAGAATTCCTTCGTTTGTGGAAGAAGGTTGTCACATACAAGGTAAATAGAATCATTTCATCAGGAACACATTGTTTTTCTGTGATATTTGTGTTCAACCTTTAATATATATGCATCTAAGGAGGATATTTTCCTAAACTTTGCGCTTTTTGTCTCTTTTATCAGGATATTTTCTTCCTCACTGATGTTTCACGCACAGGAACACTGTCACTCAGTGAGCTGAGGAATGCATTCATGGCCTCAGGTAGACCAACTTAGTATTCATTCTTTTGACTGATAAAACTTTAATTGAATGTTATATAGCAACAGAAAGGTTTCTCTCCAAATCAGCTTTTCATTTAGCTTGTTGTTTAGTTTTTACATTCTGCTAGATTCGTGTTTTGGTTCATCTTTCTCATAGAAAGGTAAATAACAACTTTATCAAGAAACCAAGCTTTTGTTAAGTAGACAAAATGGAGCAAATACAAGCTGAAGAGCCAGATATCTTCTTGGAAAAAAGGTGGTAACAAAAATGACTCCAAATGACTGCTTATGTTTCTTATGGCCACTGAAAAAGTTCAATGATATAGCAATTGAATAATTATAATTATATGTCTACACAAAACTACAGTTATTTGGTCATTTACTTCAGCTTTGTATGTTTTTTAATGCAGATAATTAAAATAAAAAGTGAATGATGATGATGGTGTAATTTGACACTAAGCTCTTAATCTGTATGTTGAACAGGTATGAGTGTCAGCGATGACATGCTCAACCTGATGGCTGTGCGTTACAGTGACTCCACCCGACACATGACACTGGAGAGCTTCATCAGTCTCATTCTGCGTTGGGACTGCATGTGCAGTAAGTAGCGTGAAACAAATGATAACAGTAGAGAAGCCTTTTTGAAAAGTGTTCTTCCTCTACCCTTACTCTTTAAAGAACGCACATCCTTTTGGTGATACAGCTTCTTTGTGTTGTTCAACAGAAATCTTCAAAGAGTTGTCAGACGGAAAAGCCATGAGTCTGCGAGCGTCCGAGGTAATGAAAATACTGTTGAAGTTAGTTTCTCTGAAAAACAGAGGAAAGGAACATGTGTATGCTTTCTGTGATTGGAGTTCTTTTGTATACAAAGCACTGCATTAATAAACTGCCTTTTTTATTTTCAGTGGATTTACATTTCAATGTACACTTAATCCAAGGAGAAAAAGTGCAGAAGAAATCATGGATGCATTTGTCAACAACTGAGAACATAGAATAATAACTAGCTACATTCTGTTTTTAACTTTTATTTGAATTATAATGTGAACACGATATAAAGCCAAAACCCTTCACCAAACCCTTTTGATGTTGTGCTGAAGATGAAATTGTCTTGTCATGGTTGCTGCATTTTTCCACCACTTTACTTTGAGCATTTTAAAATAAATAAATTGTTCAAAAACATTTCTGATTATTAAATGGGCTTATTTGATCTCCCATAAGAATGTAGAGAATTGAAAAAGGATGTATCTGTAGCAGGTGTGTACATGTAAAGGGTTATAGTTTTCTATGGGCACCTCCAGAAAAAAAACCACACACATCACTTGAGTAGGTGCTGAGTAAATAAAAATACTAGTTATGATGCAAACAAAGACTTGCAACATTATGGCTCCCAAATACATGATTCTTTATTTGTTATGTGCATTTAAGGAAAACAAGTCTTCGAGCCCAGCAGAATGGAAGGTCGGGCTCGAAACGTTGTTTTCCTTAACTACACATAACAAAAAAACAAGTTTATATTGGGGAGCCATAGTTTTGTGAGTCTTTGTTTGAACCATTTTTATTATATGTTATTTGAATGACTCATTATCATGGGCCTGAGAAGCTAACCTTTGGTTGGGTTCTTCTTTTCCCAAAGTTTTAGTGTCTAAAACAGGGGTGCCCAACCTTTTTTGAACCAAGATCTACTTTTAAAGTTGTCAGTCTGCCGAGATCTACCAGTCCACATAGTGAGCCATAGCCTTTACCGACAGCCTACAAACGCATTTAATACTCAAACAACAAACAGAAAATAATATCAGATATAATAAATGAGAGTTCTGTAAAAAATAATGCAATATCGACATACTTTTTTTAAAACTCTTATTTTAGGGTAGGCTACATTTTAATATTACGTTTGTATTTACATCACATATGTTTTTCCCTTAATTTTGTTTACAACAAACAACTTTAATCTGTGTGGAGCTGTTCACAGACTACAGCAGGCTGCTGTGAGATGATGTTGCTTTTGTTAAATTAGCTGCAGACACGGTGAGAGTGAACGGAGTAAAGTCCAACCGACCGTTTGACCGGGTCACGTGTGTTCCCGCCTCGGTCCGTAAAGATCACGGATCAACTGTGTGCTGTAGAACTAAAAGTAAAAAGTAAAAAGGTTCGCGTGGTGGCTGGCGCTCCAGTGCAAGTGTGTGTGTATGTGTGTGCGTTTGCGCTGTATGTTGGTGTGTCTCGTCCCCCGCGATGCTCACAGTCATGACAGCAGAGAGGAGCAGAGAAAAGTAGCTGCAGCTTCATCAAATGCGCTTAATACTCGTAGCATAGTTTCTATATATGACTTTTTTGTAAAACATTTACCCCCCCGGTTTTACCTGCACGTCCTCTCTCGCTCCTCCGCTCGCTCTCTCGCTCGCTCTCTCATGCACGCAGCAATTTCATGAATAAATGAAAAATTAAATACAAACAGGTCGGAAGTATACTTGGGCTCCCAACACAGGTATCGTGTATGGGAAACAGTGCAATGAGATGAAATTGAAATCACTTTTCTATTTTACAATTGTATTTTATATTGACTAAACATCTTGCGATCATGAGAATCAGTCAGCGATCTACCTGTCGATTGCGATCGACTGTTTGGGCACCCCTGGTCTAAAAGTTCTTGCAACCTATGAATCTTTGCAAACAATGTTAATAAACAGCTAGAGTAGATATGGATCATGCACAGGGCTGGGCTGAGCAAGAGAGAAGGGGCAGTAGAGCAGGGAAGTTGTCAAACTGGCTGTGTGATTGTAAGTGACACAGATAATATGGGGAGATACATTAAACACATTCAGGGTTTAAGGAACCACCCCTTTCAGAACTTTTATTTTATTTTATTTAACTTTCATTTAAACAGGAAAAAGTCTCATTGAGATTAAAAATCTCTTTTACAAGAGCGTCCTGGCCAAGACAGGCAGCAGCACAATTACAGGGTTTCAGACATAAAACACATAAATACAGGAATCACAAAAAGAACCATTCATCAGAATCTGTCATAAGTCATCAGCAACAAAGCGATCAAAAAGGGCAATACGAGTTAGCTCAAACATCTATAGTCAGATATTTCTGCCTCCAGATCATTGAGACGACCTTTAAAAACATTCAAGGAAACCAGCTCCCAAAGATTTAAAGTATCTTGCAACCAATTCCAAGAAGAGGGAGCCGCCTACTTGAACTTGGCACCCAAGGCCACCGCCGATCATCGCCTATGTCTTCAGCTGGTCCTGTGTTTGGGAACTCACACAGTGTTCTTATGTAACATGTCCCCGCCTTGCTCCATATTTCTCAGGAGTGGGAGAAACAATCTCAGGTTACCTGTGATACAGGTTCATAAATGAACATCCTCTGCTCACTGTATTAGCCTGAGGGGTATGCAGGCATTATAAAATAACTGGGATCGACCCATCATCATCAACTTCTCTCTCTGGCTGGAGGTAAGATTAACCTCTTTATATGACACATTTTCAACAGATCAATCTTAACTTTTACTTAAAGAACAAAATGTAAAACATACTGAATTGAATCTTTAAATTACTTTACTATATCTTCAGACACTAAGGAAACTTGCTATGTTGATATAACTGGCTTCTTTGACAACAACGAAGCAACCCGATATTGTCCGAACCAGATTGGTCTGTATTTTCACTCTAAAAGGTTTAAGGCACCCCACACAGCCATTTTGAAAGCTCCTGGGTTTTCAAGATATTAGACCAGTAATTATGGCAAATCAACAGGTTGGAAATTAGTGATACAACAGCAATGGAAGTGGGCAAGCCAACTTCATCAGATAATTGATTCTAACAAAAAAAAACCTACAGTTTCAGGACCAACAACGTGGTAAAACAAGGATAAACATTGGAGATGGATTTTTTTTAAAAGAACAGAGGTTAGAAGGCAGAAAGGTTTCAAGACGATGCAGAGCTGGCTGAACACTGAAGCTTCAGTGTCCTCGATATGGACTCTAGGAAGGAGGGGCCAAGGGGGTGTACGATTTGAGACCCTGGAAACTATGGGGCGCCAATTGTAAAGTTGCACACACTACAAATATAACAACATTTTTCCACATTTAGCCCTAAAACATCACTTTTTATTCACATTTCGAGAAATATTTGTGAACTTTGTCTTATTTACTTTTGTGAATAAAAATGTGAGATAATTTCACTGGCAAATATAAATGTTAAATATTATACCTAAATGTTGAATATTTTATCTAAATGTTAAATGTTATATATAAATGTTAAAAATACATGTCCTGATTCTAAATATTTAGCTACGTTTCTAAACATTTAGTTTACATTTTAAATATTTAGCTTTGATCCTATATATTTAGCTAAGATTGTACATATTTATAATCAAAGCTAAATATATAGAATATAAACTAAATATTTAGCAACGACTTCTAAATATTTAGCTAAGACTCGAAATATTTAGCAACGATTTCTAAATATTTAGCTAAGATTTCTAAATATTTAGCTTTGATTTCTAAATATTTAGCTAATATTTCTAAATATTTAGCAATGATTTCTAAACTTTAGCTAATATGCAAATTCACTCTACCGCCCACAGGAAGCACCAAAATAAAAGTTCAAGAAAGCGATCCAACCATTGTCTCCTACAGGAGACTGGCGGGATTTTGAAAATGTCCAACGAATTATCGGAGAATATTGGAAGGGCCGTTTTGGCCACAATTCAGGGTTTTCAAAGCACTACTTCTTCGGTGTCGGCCACAGGATCTTCCACAGCGCCATCACAGCGCTTGATACGTTTCTTTTCTAACGGCTTCCTCAAACTTTTATTTTGGTGCTTCTGGTGGGCGGTAGAGTAAATGTGCATATTAGCTAAATATTTAGAAATCGTTGCTAAATATTTAGAAATCTTAGCTAAATATTTAAATCTAAATTTTACATTTAGATAAAACATTCAACATTTAGATATAATATTTAACATTTATATTTGCCAATGAAATTAGCTTACATTTTTATTCACAAAAGTAAAGATGACAAAGTTCACAAATATTTCTCCAAATGTGAATAAAAAGTGATTCTTTTTTAGGGCTAAATGTGGAGAAATGTTGTTGTTATTTGTAGAGTGCGCAACTATACAATCGGCGCTGCATAGGAAAATACTGTTACTGTAAACTTTGAATAACCCTGATGTCATTGTGTGTGTGTGTGTGTGTGTGTGTGTGTGTGTGTGTGTGTGTGTGTGTGTGTGATTGCTATTGCTTAATTAATCTAGTTTTTGAATTAAGAAAACACACAATATTGTATAAAAGCCTCAGTGTTAAATGTAAGAAACTTTAACACTCTAAGTCTTGGGTAGGCAATGTGTTATAACTGCATCTTCCTGCCACTTTCATATGGTTGCATAAGTGGAAAGGGGCTGTATTTGTTTAAAAGTAAAGAAGTAGTAAACCCCATGTTGTCAGCATGTGATATTTTGTCTTTATGAGACACTAGCTTGTCCAGGCAAGCCCTAGAGTTGACTTCTTAAAAAAACCAACTTGTGTTAGCATGGACTGAAGTCAATGAACTGTACCAATAACTAGAATATTGTCAAGACCAAAAGACCCTATATTTTATGCAAATTGAATTAGAAGAACCTAAAATGTTTACTCTCTTTGGCTGAATGGAACTGTTGGAAATTAAGTGATGTTCAGGAAAGATAATACATTTAAACAAGGAAATAAGAAACTATTTAATTTACAAACCAACACACATCATACATTTCCTTTTAGTTATTTGAACTCTAGTAAAGCTGCAACACATCACAAGGCGAGTTATTTGTTAATGATGGAATGTGTACATGCTGGTTTTTCCTCACACTCTGTACTTAATAAAAACAAATCTTTTAAA